ATTTAATATTTCGATTGAAAATAACGTCGTAGAGAATGAAGATGCCTTTCAAATGAGGTATCACAAGCCCATTCTTCCTATTTACAAATTTAGGGATAGAAACTGTCTTTCAAAGGAAGTTAAAGGTAGGAGTGAAATGTTCACCTTGCAGGGTGTTATTTTATAATCTAAAAATGACGTATTTCGGGATTTTTTTTATAAATATGCACAGCAATAATTGAGTTACTGAATTTATTTTATTTGGTTGTTATATATACACTGTAAAGAGTGCTAGTATGTATAAGAATTATATTTAAATGAAGTAGAAATAAAACTACATAGACTTCATTGATCAAATTTCCCTTTAATGAGCTTTTGAAAAATGTTCTCCTTTTTTACTTGGCAAAAAATAAATGAATAACCCTATATCTAAGCCAAATTTTGTCATTTACTAATTTAGAAAAAACATATAATATTTTTGATTTTACAATTCTCTTAAGCCAGGATAAATATCTTCTTTTACCAAACCTAAAAAACGGATACAACAAATATTTGTATACCTATTTCAAGACAGATCTTCGTTTAACTGATTTTGTGTTAAAACTAACTCATGATAAGTTCTCAGCAGATATTTATTAGGTTTGGACAGAGTAACGGAAAAGGACAGGTAAATAATTGTTTCTTGAAAAATTGTTTTGAATATCTACCACCAAAGTACTTAAGGCATCCGTTGTACCAAAATTCCTTTTGAAACCATACTGATTTTCTGGAAGAAGCTTTTATTGCATTAACCACCATTCAGATCTAAACTTAGTCATCCTCTCTAGAGTTTTAAGGACACATGAAAGCAATGATATGGGTCTATAACAGTGGTCGCTCAATGTGTTGAGCTACTTTGTTAATTTTGGAAAAAAACAGCGAGCTACCCACGCGGAAGCCACGTAACGCAACGTAAATGAAATAATCCACAGATAATTTATCATTATATGTATTTATTTTACTATTTATACATAGTACATAGTATTTACATAGGTACTAATAATAAACTAATAATAAAATAACTAATATTACTAGTACGTACTTGTTCATAGCTACATTCCTACCTAACAAACGAAGGTGTTTGAAAAATAAACACAAACTTTTATCCAGCCACAACGGCATGTCACGTAAGATTTAAAAATAGTTAATAATAACAACAAAAAAGTAACGCACTATCATGAACATAAACATTGAAAAATAAAAAAGCACGTTCAATGAGAAGGCTGACACTCAGACTCATCGATAATTTTTTAGTGTTTGCAGTATAATTTGATACAGCCATTCAAATACAATTATACAAATGTTAATCTGTAAGTCGATTGCGATATTTGTTCTTAATAAACTTCATATTAGAAAAAGAAGATTCACACAAATAGGTTGAACTAAATAATGCTTTCACTTTCAAGGCAACACGGCATAGAACTGAATATTTGTCTTTACTTACAATAGGCCAGATACATTTGGTATTTGAGACTAACGATTTTAAGGCTAAATCATTTTGAAACTCAATTACTTCCATTTCTGTTGCAGCGATGTCTTCGCCAAAGTTCTGCATAACACAAGTTGCAAACTGTTGGATATCAATTTCCATAAAGGGTGAAACAACAAACTGCGCTACTAAAGCCATTTCGTTGAAATCCTTAAAACTATTTTTGAAGTTATTCATCAGGGTAGAAACTATTTCTACATGATATTTGCTGTCATAGGGTTCTAATGGATTTTGAGATATTTTTTCTGAAAGAATAGGAAAATGCTTGGCAACGCTGTTAGTTAGGTTCTGTTCCCAAAACTCCAGCTTTTTGATAAATGCTTTTATATCAGAAATTATTTCCGCTAATTCTTTGTCTCTCCCCTGAAGCTGCAAATTAAGTTCGTTTAATTTCTCTGTAATGTCCACGAGAAAACCAAAATCTCTAAGCAAGATTGAATTTTCTAGTTCCGAAGTCGGTTCATGGCGTTGTTTAAAAAATTGGACTATGCCAGATAGGATATCATTAAAACGTTTCAGCACCCGTCCTCTACTTAACCATCGGACTTCAGAGTGAAGGAGTAGGTCCCCGTATTGACAGTCAACTTCATCGGCCAAGGTTTTGAATAATCTTCTTTGTAACGCTTGAGCTCTAATCTTGTTCACAATTTTTACCATCAGTTTCATAACGTTGTTTAGTTTCAGGAAATTACCACATAATGCTTGCTGATGGATAATGCAGTGGTAACAGAGAAATTGCGGAAAAGTTTCATCTTTACGACATAACCCCACCAGACCCTTATTACAACCCACCATAGCTGGAGCGCCATCGGTTGTCAAGCCTACCATTTTCGATATTAGAATTTTCTCGGAAGAAATAATATTTTTTAAATGAGAAAACAACTCCTGTCCAGTAGTGTGTCCTTTCAGTGGAATAAACTTCAAAAGATCTTCTTTAATCGTAAAATCACTAAAAACCATCCTGACGAACACGGCCATCTGGGCAGTGTCAACGACATCTGTTGATTCATCCAGTTGAAGTGAAAAATAAAGACAGTTATCTAAGTCAGTTCTTAACTGTAAAAAAATATCGTTGCTCATTACTTCTACACGTCTCATCACCGTATTAGCAGAAAGTTGCATAGATTTTATAGCTGAAACTATCTCGTCTTTATTTCTAAAGTTGGCAAATAACGAATCAGCAGCTTCTAAAAACGCCTGTTTTATCATTTCCCCGTCTTCATAAGGTTTCTTTTTTTGTGCAATTATCTGGGACACACGGTACGATGCTTCAGTTGCAGCCTTATTTTGGTCGACTGTTCTTAAAAATATTGATTGTTGTCCAATTAACTGCTTTTTTAACTGTTTTAGTTTCTCCTTTTAGGCGGTAGAATGTAGTGGGAATGATTTTTCAAAATTAGAATGTACAGTTTTATGATGTCTCTGAATATTTCCTTTTTTAGCAACGGAGACCGAAGTATTACATAACAAACACACATTTTTATCTTTAACTTCTGTAAAAAAGTATTGTTCTTCCCATTCCGAATGAAAGTGGTATATCTTTACCTTCTTACAACTGCTTGCCATAATATTATTTTTTGTTGTTCTCTACTAATCCAACCGCTGGACGTTGGTTACGCGTTCAGTTTTAAACTAAGCGCAATGTCGCCGCCCCGTCAGGGTTGCCAACTTTTCAAATTCCATTTACCGTACCGCGCAATTCAAATTACCGTACGTGGCCTTCCAATACCGTATACTTTTATTTTGTAGAAAACTATGTATAAATATCTTTTTGTCGAGCTTCTAAAATAAAAAAAGTCCTCATCATATTTTACTCAACCTCTGGTCCTTCTACCTAGCTTCTACAAAAAAAGGCCTTAGCTTATATTTTTGTAAAAACCCAGTCCTTTTAAAGGACATGTGCTGTAAAAAAAGATTAAATCTTCATTTAGTAATTTAAACTTCGTTTAACACAACGGTGGAATCGGCCCTTACACACCTCAAAGTCTTTGCTAATTCTGTTCAAAATACCGTACGTTTACCGTACTTTTTATGTAAATACCGTACTTTTATGTACGGTAATGACTTTGGACCATATACCGTACATTAATCGAATTTACCGTACAAGTACGGTAATTACCGTAAGGTTGGCAACCCTGCGCCCCGTGCGTATTTATCCCGTTCAAAGCAATCCTGGATAGCTATTCATTAAGTCATGGGAACGCTCCCATGGGAGTGCTCCCATATATTTTGCTCTCTTACTCTTAGGTGGGTATATCGTGCTTACTCACTTTTAGCCCAGGTACATGCGTAGTAAGGTCAGATTTTATACTATGGGAGGGAGAATTGCGGGCTTGCCAGATTAGGTCTGTATTTATCACAAAGCAAATTTGAACTACTAAGGGCCGATTCCACCGTTGAGTTAAACGGAGATTAAAATGACATTGTTAATGTAAAAATGTAATTTTAAACTTCGTTTAACACAACGGTGGATCGGTCCTTAAATAGTAGATCAAAGTTATTCTGTCGACTTGGCAACGTTGGCATGGAAGTATGGGAGCGTGGGAGTGCTCCCATGAGTTAGAGAATAGGTATCCTGATCGTTCTCGAACACTAACCGGCTGGTCGGTTCTAGCCGATTCTAGCTTGATGGCGTCAGCGACAGATCGCTCACCGCAACGTTGCCGCTGTTTATGTTTAATATTATGACAATTAGATTTTTTTGTGGAATTTTCGGAAGCTTCTCTGATTTTTGCAGTTTGTATTTTTTAAATTAAAATCATTGTGAGAGCTACCAGAATTGCCTCCGCGAGCTACCGGTAGCTCGCAATCGACAAGTTGGCGACCACTGAGAGCTATATAATGACCTGCTTAAATGCAAAATATGCTTCCCTTGGAATATTCAAAGTTTATTGCCCTCCAATTCCAGAAACATTTATGACTACTTGATTAATTTTTTAATGGAATCAGGTATACGCTTGTGATTAGTACTTCTACTCGTTACCTTTGTTTTCTTTCCTATTATTTTACCTCCTTTTTTTAATGCCTTGATGGGTCCCTATAGGCGAGAAGCAAGTGTCCCCATTTAATTCTCTTGTTGTTATTTGAAATTACATTTTTAATGTTTTCTCTTTTTCATTCATTATTTGTTTGTTAATTTACCTCTTCCATTTTGTGACTGGCTATATGACAAAGATTCTATGCCAAAAAAAAAACACTAAACAGGGTTTAACCCATTATTCAAAAAAGTCTTTAGAAATCGAAATAACGTTAAAAAACTCAAAAAAATTTTATATTTCGCACAAAAATTGCTAATGAATAATGAGAATTGAATATCAAATAATATAACACTAAAAAATTTCACTTTAAATAGATTTTTAGACGCTTTTTCTAAAAAGTAAATTACTTCCAACCCTGGTAATACAATTTCTAATTAAAGAAAAAAAAATAATTCTAAAAATACCAATCACATCAATCTTTAATTACTGAAGGACATTTATATACCATCCTGCGACAATTACTTATCATTTCCTGTAATTATGTTATAAGGTTTATAAAATACTTGGCATTTAAAACGTTATAAACTTATTTTACAACTATTACTACAAACAACACATTTTTATTTAAACACAAATACATCCATTTTATTAAAAAATGAATATAGTGGTGCAAAGTGAGGTTGTTATTTTTAAATTATTGGTATTCGTGATAACACAAACTGAAAACGCTGCTCTCCAGAGTGTCGGGATAAAGAATTCATTATATGAAATACCAGGGTTAGGTAATCAACCTGTAATGATCAAGGCAATTCCTGGAATCGAAAACTACCAGAGCGATATATTTGAAGTTTATGCGGAACCTTATCTTCAAGTAAGTACTTAATTTAAATTCGTAAAATACAAGAGCGGATCTTCTTCGTTTTGCTGAAAGGATAATGTAATAATGTAATGTAATAAAATTGTTTTATTTAGAGGGTATCTAAATTTTTATTGCCGATAAACCGTTTGATGCTAGTTTTAATCGATTTTGGTGAGAAAATTGGGTTAATATTGAGTGTATAGAAGGATAAAATGTCATATGGTTGTTTATTTCAAAAAATGTCCATTCAAAAGCAGTAAATAATAAGGTTTCAGAATGGGACTAAAATGGCGTTCGTCTACTATAAGAGCAAAATAAAATAATGGTGATATATATTTATATAGATGGCGCATCCATATGTAAATCAGACGACGAAAATCGGTTTCTATTTAATTTCTATGTAAGGGGTTTCACCCCTAATATCATTTGTTTGGGCGGGGTAATACTGATCAAATAGATTACTGATGATATAATAAATCTTGCACAACAACTACTTTTTACTAAAAACTTCCTGTAGAAAACCCTTTTTTTCAATAATGTAGGTTCTTCGAGTAAAGCCCTTTGACTTTTCTTGCTTTTTGTTTTGTTTAATGCTTGTAAGACACCATCTCGTCTGATTTTAAATATAGGATGGACAAAGCTGCAAATAATTTAATAATAGTGAATGATATTTTCAGAATAATACTCAAAACTCTTACTATAAGCCTTTTATTTCAGTTTAGGTTTATAGTCCCTTTATTACTTCTAACGATTTTGTCTGTAAAAATAGCTTGGAGCCCGTGTCCTATTCCAAAATGTTTAACATAAACCATTCTTTATAATTCAAATAAAAAGTAATTTACATGATTTTTCCTTGATGTTTTTTAGCTTGTCTTCCAAAAAATCAAACTACTGATATTATAAAAACTCTAACACCAGAACAAAGTTTAAAAATAAAAATATAAACACTAAATAACAATAAAATATTAGATTTTTTTAAAACCTAATATACGACTCCAAGTAAAATATTTTGTCAACTCACTTTTTCTTCCGTGACGTCATTGCGCCCTTAGCAACCGTGATGAGGCCACTGTGTTGTCTACGAACCGTGTGCATTCCCGGTCACCAGTCACGGCTACAGTGCCGATACCATATGCATAACTGGTGACAGGCAGTGGCTACGGTGCCGACACCATATACCTAATGCCTTATAGTTGATTCTCTTTTTCTACTATATACAGCTGTTTCTACAGATTTTCAACAATAATTGCTTTATGCTACTATTGCAGATCTACATGCTATTAATGAACATGTTCAATTGTTGGCAAATATTCTTAATGTAGCTTTTTTACTGAGACCCTTCCTATAGTGCCTCAATATTGCATTTTAAAACTTTTTTCATGTTTCCGATCATTCTGAGTCCGAAAATGCAAAAAAAATTTCGTCTGGTCGTCTGTATTTGAAGGGATGGAACACTCCGCCTTCGGCGTCGTGTTCCAAACTTCCCTTCTCACAAAATAAAATATCACTTTTAGCACTTATATCATAAATAACTATTTTGTGAATCACTCCACTTTATCATAAATTAAATTTCTCTAATTTTTTTTTATCTTATATAGAATTTATACACCAAAGCAGCTATAGCTATACTTCAAGCTGAAGCGGAGAATGGAATAACTGGTGAAATCATGTTTATACAAAGAGATCCACCATTAGGACCAACTTTGATAACTGGAAATATAACAGGATTACCAGCTGGGAAACACGGTTTCCATATACACCAATCAGGCGACTTAAGGCAAGGTTGTGAAAAAATTGGCGGACATTTTAATCCATATTTGGTAAGCATTATTACAATGGTTTTGTAAGGGGGCATCTATTAATTACGTGAGGTATTTTGGGTGTAAATGCATTGGATTATTAAAAGAAAAACAGAAACACAATATATGTTCTATTACTTTTATTTAAGACTAGCATTTGAGAATATTGCCGTAATATAAATATTCTAGAACCATTCTTTACTTTAATTTTAATTTAACTTTACATTAACGCAATTTTACACTGTTTTCTACTACAAAAACATTACGTCTGATTTACAAAGACCCCCTCTTCCCTAAGTGAGATTTGGAAAGATTTGGCTTGAGCCTCTCCCCCTCTTGAACACCTCACGTAATTAATGTCGCCCCCTAATACATTTCAATATTATAATTCATAATCTGCACAATTTGTAACTTCAATTCATTCATATGTAAAAACCGCATATTATGTTAAAATTGCAAGAGAGGGTTGGAAAGTGGATTTTAGTGTTCCTGCTTATTATTGTAGTCAATCACTAATTTAAGTAGAATTATACCGTCTCAATAATTTTTCATTTCTGCTCTATGTTGAATACAATTTTTTAAATTTAAGCCATATTCGAGCGGTCGACTGGTTTAAATATATTTCAAGCGGTCTGAAAACAGTTCGAGTAACCAAACGATGACGTCACGTTGAAATGGGTTTAAACCAGCTGCATCTGTTTTTGAAACGTTTCAATAAGAACGGTTCAAGGAAATACAAATGTCATTAATGTCAAAAATAGTAACGAACACCATAGAGCAACGGTCCTATTCTGGGGTACTCATTCACTCACTCATAGATGTCGAAAACAGTGTTTCATGGACGGCAAACTTCAAATAATATATTATTTGTTTTCAAAATTAATCCCATTTTATTATTATTACTATTATGTGTAAAAATTCGTCGCAACGTTCCTGGGGCTCCGACACACCCAGTACATTACGCGAAAGGCCTGGTCGCTGAGAAGATCACTCCTTACATCCGCTCGGTCAGTGATCTTCGGCCAAATTCAATTACCTCAAAAGACGAAGGGACCCTAGGACTACCGCTTTCTGCATCTTCACTCCTAGTTGTTTTGATGAGTCTCGGCAAGCCGGTATTTTTTGTAGCTCCTTGAGCATAGTGTCCTTGATTCCCCCTAAAACGCCCACAATTAGGACTACCATTCGTACATTATATTCTGGATATATTCTTATTAATAATATGATTATTATTATTATTATTATTATTATTATTATTATTAATATTAATTTTAGTTAAGGCATGGAGCTCCTTTTGACCCAATACGACACGTTGGCGACCTCGGAAATATCGAAGCTGGTGAAGATGGTAAAGTCGAAATAAGATTTGTTGATCCTCTTATATCACTTACTGGAGGTCCAAGAGGAGTAGTGGGCCGTTCATTAGTCGTAGCGACTAATGAAGATAATTTAGGCGTTGACGGCACTGCAGATAGCCTATTGAATGGACAATCTGGAAAACCTTTAGCTTGTGGTGTAATTGCTTACATCAGATAGAGATGGAATAGTTAATAAATCTATTGTTTTTTTTTATAATTCTGTTTTGAGGTGTTTTAACCTCTTTAATAACCTTTTCGTTACTCTTTGTTTATTGTGAATGTTTCACTCATAGCTCATGAAGTCCCTCATCTAGCTGTCTAACGTCATGTTACAGGCATGAAGATGGTCCTGTGAAGCCGAAACTAGTTGCTCCTAAATTTATTTACAATAAAATTGATGTCTTATTCATTTTGAAGTTTTATTCTTCAATCAAAAAAATTAGACATTTACAAAGATTTTGTTTTATTTTCTGCATCAGACATATTATAAGAAGGTATCCAGTTTAAAAAAATACTAAAATTAGCGAATTTTTTAAGTTTTATTTAACAATGTGTGTTCTTACAGAGAAATGATACGCCACTGTACCTTTGAGTGTGTTTACTTTCCCTCTTGTGCCCGCGCCATCACTTCCTATATAGATATTGAGAACAAAACAATCCCGTACAAACTCGCTTCACGCTCAATCTAGTAGTTTAAAATAAATTCCGCACGCCTATGATACACAAGAATGTCTGTCACAAAAAAAGCGATCTATATTATCGACCGATATACTTAGATCGGCGAATTTGACGTTTACTCGTATTATTAAATTTATTGTTATTCGAAATTGAACAGTTTTGGTGCAACAACAAATGTTTCTCTTACTCAAAGACAGTTTTTGTGATTGTTTATACCCAGAAGAAAATAATGCAGAAAGTAATTCAGGTTAGTAAATTTCGTAAAATGTATTTTTCTTTTCAGTCGTCATACAAGATGAAGGTGTAGGTTTTTTTTAACAAGTTTTTTGTATTTTGAACAATGCTAATAAATAATTTAATAAATAATTCGATTGCATGCCATAGAGGTAACGAAACAAAAGTGTTTATAACAATTATTTAAACAAGTTTTTTCTAGTACCTATTCAAGTACATTAATTCTTCTGTAAAATAATGGACCTCTGTTTATTTTTGATAAAATATCGAAGGTCTTGTTATGTTTTTGAGTATAGGAGAGGTAGATTAAATTTGGTCAAGTCGTTTCTTATAAATAATTTAAATATATAAAGTATTAGGTATCAGCTAAATTAAACAATGATGACTAGAGAATATTCCGGAAGATTCATTAGAAAGGAAATTGTAATTTTTTTTGTAAATGGGTTTTGTATATCACTAGATTCATAGAATGTTAGTTATAGATGGCCCTAAATCAAATTTATAATCACAAATAAGCTATGTTTATCACAGTACTTTTTGATGGCTCTCTCTGGCATGAAAAATATAGGAAATTTAATGGGGGTGGAGTTTGTTCTGTGATTTTAAACAGTATTAAACAACAGTTTTACAAATTAACGAAAAACATGTCTACAACATCTACTGTTAATCATCTTTAGCTTCGGTGTTCCGAAGCCGAAGCAACACGATCTTAGCTATGCGACATTTTAACAGGGCCGTATCCAAAATTAATTGGTATAGCGTTATAGGAGTGAATTGATAGAAACAACATATTTCGATGAATAAATTAAAATAAAAAAATTAAAATTAATAAAAATAAATAAAAATAAAATAAATAAAAATAAATAAAACTAAATAAATAAAAATAAATAAAAATAAATAAAAATAAATAAAAATAAATAAAAATAAATAAAAATAAATAAAAATAAATAAAAATAAATAAAAATAAATAAAAATAAATAAAAATAAATAAAAATAAATAAAAATAAATAAAAATAAATAAAAATAAATAAAAATAAATAAAAATAAATAAAAATAAATAAAAATAAATAAAAATAAATAAAAATAAATAAAAACAAATAAAAATAAATAAAAATAAATAAAAATAAATAAAAATAAATAAAAATAAATAAAAATAAATAAAAATAAATAAAAATAAATAAAAATAAATAAAAATAAATAAAAATAAATAAAAATAAATAAAAATAAATAAAAATAAATAAAAATAAATAAAAATAAATAAAAATAAATAAAAATAAATAAAAATAAATAAAAATAAATAAAAATAAATAAAAATAAATAAAAATAAATAGAAATAAATAGAAATAAATAAAAATAAATAAAAATAAATAAAAATAAATAAAAATAAATAAAAATAAATAAAAATAAATAAAAATAAATAAAAATAAATAAAAATAAATAAAAATAAATAAAAATAAATAAAAATAAATAAAAATAAATAAAAATAAATAAAAATAAATAAAAATAAATAAAAATAAATAGAAATAAATAGAAATAAATAAAAATAAATAAAAATAAATAAAAATAAATAAAAATAAATAAAAATAAATAAAAATAAATAAAAATAAATAAAAATAAATAAAAATAAATAAAAATAAATAAAAATAAATAAAAATAAATAAAAATGAATAAAAATAAATAAAAATAAATAAAAATAAATAAAAATAAATAAAAATAAATAAAAATAAATAAAAATAAATAAATAAAAATAAATAAATAAATAAAAATAAATTAAATAAAAATACAGAAGTTAAGTTAAGTAGTCTGAAAAATATGAGAGGTGAATTTATAAAAACAACATACAGTGTGTTCCATAAAGTTGTATCCATGGGGGATTTTTTAATATTACCTTTTTTAAAAACTTAAAATTGTCCATACTAATTTTGGATAGGGTACTGCATTAAATGTCTGCCAAATTCGGTATTTTTTGAAAAATCGTTTTTTTTTTTAATGCGAATTTGACAGAAAACTAATTATAGGAATACTGATTTTGCAGACGAAAAAATAGAGTAAAAAAATAATCGTGACGTTAACTTCAAACAATTTTTATTGACTGTTCATATAACATCAAGTATACATAATAATAAAGAGAGTTGATAGTCGTTGCTGATTACTGGTTTAATCATAATAATAAATATAAGTACACAAAATTCATAAAAAACTACTAAAAATTAGGTTTTTCTAATACTAATGTTAGTAGTTAGATATTGGCTATTTATAGTTTTTAAATAAGAAGTGATTGCTCCATGGCGCCTTTTCCAATCAATATTAAAAAAAATACCATATATATCCAAAGATAAATAACAAACACTTTTTTGTATGCATTTAATACTTTTGTACATTTTACTTAATATTGTATTTCTGGACCTTAGAGCCAAAGAGTATTAAGTCCATTTTACAAAATTTTACAGGAGAAGTTGTTGAAACTTTTGACTGCATCTATGTTTAGTTGGATTAAATATTGGTTTTAAAAATAATAGGACAATGGAAGGAGCAGGAAAAATAGTAGTAGTAACCAAAAACTTGAAAATTAAAAAAAGGTGGACTTAATACTGTTTGGCTCTAAGGTCCATATTTATTTTTTACGAATAAATATTATATTATTATTAATTTGAAATCTTAAAGCGAATTTTGGGATCAACAATAAACGTGTCGAGTGTTATTATTTTATAAAAAAAATTGAAATTTGCGGTAGGCTTTTTACTTTAAGAGCAGTTTCGGAATTCACGGTTTAGTTTTCCATGTTTAACATTTCGCCAGGAGCGTTCTGATACCGCGTCAGGACGAAAAACGTTTTACCTTGGCCGTTCATAATAACGGCGCGGTCACAGCCCTGAGTAACCTGTTCTAAATTCTTTGGATGTTTGCCCTGGGGGGTATTTTCAAACTCGAGAGAAAGTGACTTTTCTCAAGATTTTCATGAGAAATGTCATACGTCAACATAAAAATTATATTTATGAAGCCAGTGACTGTTTCTCTTGGTTTATTTCGGTAAAATCACAATTCTCGTAAGAAATTTAATTATTAGAGGCTTTAAAATTATATAATGTAACGCCTAATGCTAGCCGTATTTACAGGACGTATCCCAGGATAATTTATGAGATCATAAATAAGAGCGAGTCAAATTGTATCAAAAAAAAATTATACTTTAGCAATGTTTCTAATTAAAAAAATAAAATAATATCTTTTTGGCGATATTGTTGAAATTTGTTAATCGTTGTTTGTAGTAATAAGGGGTTAATTTTAATTCTAAGAACACAAGAAGTGGAAATAAAGGAAAAAAATAATTAAACTTGAACTGTAATCTAAAGCAAATCAACTCCATAAAATTATATTAACTAAATTTTATTATTATTTCAGTTGAATATGTTTGTAGTGTGTGATTATTTCAATAAATGAATAATTTTAAAATAGCACATTTAAGCATAAGATCGCTAGTTCCTAAGTTACAGCAATTAAAATATTGTATTTTAAATAAGGAAATCCATATTTTTTGTCTTACAGAAACATTGTTAAAACCGAATATTTTTACAAGTACAATTTCTATTCAACAATTTGCGTTCGAGAGATTGGATAGAATAAATAAAGTGGGAGGTGGTATCGGTTTATATATCTCAAATAATCTTCGATATTCGGTTCTAATACATAAAATAAGAAACCCCTTCTAACAGTTATGAGTCAGGAATGTATCGAACGCCGAAAGAAAATTTGAAAGTTGCTTTTAATGAACTAGAAAACAGCCTTGCTTTCTTAATTCAACAAACAAGATGCAAAAAATTAGAGCAGGAGTATCAAAGGGAAGCGTCCAGAGACCCACTTTGTATCTGTTATACACTTGTGACATACCCCAACTAGAATAAGACACAATAGCTACATTTGCAGATGATACTGCCATCCTAGTAATAGGCAAAGATTATGAAGAGGTTGCAAATAAACTACAAACATCAGTTAATCAAATAAATAATCGAAACCAAATCTGTTAATATTAATTTAACTAACAAAAATGGTTAAAGAATACCAATTATTATAAATAATGCCCTGGTCCCTTATGCTAACTCGTCAAAATATCTAGGTATTATATTAGATGCAAGACTTCGCTGGAAAGTCCACGTTAAGAAGAAAAAACAAGAGATTTAAAATTCAAGAAAATGTACTAATTACTTGATAGGCATTCCAGCCCATCTACATATAACAAAATTCTATTATATTAACAAGTTCTCAAACCAATATGAATCTATGGCATTTAGCTCTGGGGTTGTGCCAGTTACAGTAATATTTTTATAACCCAGAGATTCCAGAACAAAGTATTTAGGAACATTATCGATGCTCCTTGGTACATTAGAAACAGCGACCTTTATCGAGACCTTCAGATGGACACTGTTGACAAGACTAGGAGTCACGAACAACGGCTTCACCAACATCTAAATGTTGAGGCGATCCAGCTTT